AAATTGCATTTAACATGATTTACCTTTTCACATCCATAACAAGTTATAGACATAGTGGAAGAGTGTACTAATTTAAAGACAAACCAAGTTCAATTTATCTTTAAAGTATATTTCATCAGTGTTCATTTCTAAAACACCTGTTGAATTATGGAAATATTGGGGCTTCATAGAAGAGAGGCAATTGCTGAAAGCTGCCCTTCTTAGTAGATCCTGCCCATTATTGTCTTGAAATATATAGCATTACTATCTAGTTAGTTTAAAAAAACTTGGTTGATTAATGTACTAACAGTGTAAAGAGTAAATTTTGTGTATGTGTGACTGGGTAGGACACCAATTTCTTTCTACCTGTGTTTATCTAATAAACAGCATCTATTGAATTAATGAAATGTTTGTTTCTCTGTGTTATGAGATAATTGGTTCATGTGAGAAGACAAACAAGCAAACAACTGTATATTCCTGTATATTAAAACAAACTGTAAAGCTGTATGTAAACTTACAGCTGAAGCTGAAACAATGCTTAGAAAAGATCATGCACATCAAATTTGAAAAATGCAAATATTTAAGCCTTACTGCATCTTAATGTAAGCTGAGTAAATTAATATTGTGTTGTTCCATGAAACAATGCGAGGACAGTTGTGAGTCTGATAACATGAAAACAGCAATACTAATGGAGTAATCAAAAATCTTCTGACTGAAAAATCCAGATAAATAAAAGTACTTGACACAATCATTACTTAAATCCAGCATCTATGAAACAGCTTATTCTATACAGAGTTTTATTGACTTCAGAGAAAAAAAAAATCTTGGTCTCATTCTATTAAGAAGTATCATGCTGCCTTGAGCAGTTTCTACCTTCCTGAAACAAATGGTCAGGAGGGACTGATGTTATTTTCTACTGAAGTGCAACATGGCTGGGGGCGGCCAGCTGGTCCATCAATGTACAACTGACTGAGAAGGAACCTAAAACCACCTGTTGATCTCCTTGGATAACTGTATTTATTTTTAAGATGTTATGCTGTATTTCTTGACAGGGAGTGTAACAAATTCAAAATCAGTACAATTTTTGGATTGGATCCAGAGTGTCCTTCCATATTCCCAACAGCAAATGGGGAGAGGGTGATTTTTGACACTCCTCTTGATCCCCCCCCTCCTCTTGAAGGCCCCAGTGCATCTCTCCCACTGTTCTGGGTGTGGGAGACCCTCTGGAATTTTCTTCTACTCACCCAGTACTGCAAACATGAGGGGAATCAATGAAAATTATCTCCTATTCCATTCTTCTAACAGCATTCTCCTACAGTCTTTTCTGGATGGAAGGAGTCCTTCTCTCAGGAGGCACTGGATAATGGGCAGTATCCAGTGAAGTGTTTTGGGTCCACTGACCACCCATACTGTTCTGCAAGCAGCACTCACTACTTGTGCAATGGAAATTTAGTGGTTTTGAAAGTGAGCAAAAATGTTAATCTCTGGAACAGGGCAACAGAGTTTGAATAAAGGAACTCAGCTGATACTCCTGTTCCAAAAATGAGCGTTTTTACTCATTCTGGAGCTTCCTCTAGGAAGCTTTAAATCTCCAATCTATTCACTCCAAGTAGTGAAAAGATTTAGAGGGAAAAAAACTTTTGAGCTGCTTTCTCTTTAGAATATTGCTGAAATGTCTTAATTGCAGTTTATTAGTCCAAAAATGGTCTCTAATACAATACAGTGTTAGAAAGTTGCAATTCTTGTATAATGCAGACATGACTAATTCAATTGTAATTTTCTTGGCTAGAGACAGCTGGAAACAGTTTAAATGAGGGCTCATTGCTTATGATGTAACAATTATCCCTCAAGAAGTTACCTTTTTTGGCATTGTTTCTCTTATTTCTGCATAATGCTAACTATGGAAATAGTTTCTAAAGTCAAGTAATTAAAATAAATCTTTCTATCTTTTTTTAAAATGACGTTTATGTTTGCTAAGGGTGCGACTGCTTTTCCTGCATCCCTGACACTGGATATATTTATGAATTGTTGTATGATGCACAGAGACCATGAAGAACTATGTTTTTCCTTGGTTCAAACTCTGAGGAAATTTTAAATCTCTAAACTTACCTGGTGTGATTTAATTTTATGCTAACAACTCTGTGGAGAAGGTAGGTAAGGCAGTAAAGAGTGTCTGGCCCACAATCGCAGAGTAAACTTCATGGCCTAAGAACTTTGAACCCAGGGTTCTCTGATTCAAGGCTTACACTTTCTCCACTACTCTTTCCATGTATTGTGGGTGAGGCTTATGGCTTACCAGCATTAGAACACAAGGTATCCATTTTCTCTAAGTGACACAGTTACATACTCACTAAATTGGTAAAAACATGAAACCTTCTACTTGTGACTTTCCACCTGTCACAAGTTGGGCACCTGGCAGATCCTCACATGTGCTGTCAAGAGCGTACCACCTTTTTGTTCACCTTGATATCTGCTTAGTAACAGAAGTATCTATTTGTTTTGAGCTGAGAAGCACCATGAAGAAAACTAGGGTGCGCTTTGTGGTTTTGTCCTATAAGCATATAATGGTCCTCAGGGCAGGGTCACTGTCTGTGATAGGCCTGCTGCAGCATTCCATTCTCCATCCTAAAGAATGCTTTTGTGAGTGCAGTCTGTGTTTGGTGTGGTTCTTGAAACTCCAACCTTAGCTTCTGCCAGGACGCATGTTCTCACAACAATATTGTTTTAATTTCCATTTACTATAGGTTCACATGAAATCAAAATGAAAAGATTTTATCTGGAATGGTTAAACTCTCCAGTTTTTTAAAGACCTCTTTTTCATATGAAATCTACATTCTTATATTTGATCAGTTCCAGCCTAACTTTCCCTCAAATATGATACTGTTGACTCTATTTTCCTTATTACTAGAATGTGCAAATCTTCAGCTTGAGATATTCTCCTTTTCTGTGTGTACTAAGGCCCAAGTGGTTACTTATTTATAGAAGCATTTCATATGAGCTCTTGGCATTTTGTAATTAGATGCAATGGGTTGTACAGTTAATAAATAAGCAAGAATAGGGTACTGGATGAAAGAGAATTGCAAATAAAGGAGGCCATTAATTTAGCTAGGTCAGAAAGATCCCTGACATTTCAGAAACTAGAATCATTCCACTTGACTTATAGAGGAATTTTAATACATACATTTAAATTACTTTGGAAACATTTTTAAAGGCACTAAGTTGAGATCTGTAGCTTCCGCTCAGTTAGATAAATGTCATTTCTCTGAGAGAGCTTAGACATGAATGGTAGGATTTCTGGGTTATAACAACCAAGTGGTCTCCAAACCACTTCACATGTTGCATGCAATAGCCAAAACTAAGTATGCTTTGGACAGTGTAACATGCACTGAATAAGTCTGCGTTTTTTCCTCAATTGTAGATGTTTGAGCAACATACCAACTTTTAGTTTACAAAGACTGAATGTATATGTTAAATGTGGTGAAGTATAAGCTGAATCAGATCTATTTTTATTATATTCATGATTACTTTTCTTTTTATATTATATCCAGCTGTGTCTCATCCACCAGGAGAATGGGTGCCACTGGGTTAACAAATTTTCTCCCCCCTTGTGCAAACACCAAATCTTGAGACAGTTGCTAGTCTCTCTACAAGAGATGCAGGAAGGAATGAAGAAGAAATGGAAGCCCTCCACTGCATGAGTGGAAGTCTGCTCACATGAAACCAGATGAAACATATATATTTATATACTATAATTATTTATTTGAATATTACCCAAGAACCTGCATACAAGTAGAAGTGGGTCTGAGTTCTGAAATACAAAACCACCCATTTGAATTCAAATATTAGATGAAGCTGAAGGCCTGTACTGCACCCTCCAGCAAGCCAGATACCCACTGGAAAAATAATCAAAACGAATACCAACAAATAGAATAAATATATAGTTTGGTTTACAACTTTGTCATGAGCAATGTAATTAGGATCCAAACACCTATATTAAACAGCCACAGAGGGACAGGGCAAGCATGCTGGGATTTTTGAACTTTTTAAAAAAATGTCAACAAAATGCCATATGATTAGAATGTGCTTTTGGAAGTGACCTCACTATCAAAGATGGATAGGTATGTAGCACACAGGGACTACCTTTTGAGAAACACAACTCAAAGCCTCCTTGGACACATATAACTAGTTGTGCAGGTCTCTGGATTCTGGCATATACCTAAAAAACCCCAGATGTTCTATATACTTTATTTGTTTTCTTAAGAATGTATCTATTTTTTTCATACAACCCAGCTGTCAAACTACAGGAGATAAATGCAAACTGGGAAACCAATTAGCAGTTTGATTTATTTTTCTCCTATGAGTGATCCTCAGTAAACTGAACATATAACTGGGTCATGTTCAGTTTGGACATGAACTTAATATAGTGAGAACTATCTCCCATCCAATTTTGTGATGCAAACATGATACATGACACTAGAAGCTGCTGAAATTAGAATTCCAACGATTTAGACACATAAGAAGCAGGTTTTCTGGAACAATACTTAGTTGAGACATTACACTAAATCATGGTTAAGGATGCTTAGCTAAGATTAAGAGTGTTATCTGAATTGATAAAACAGTTATAGCTTTGCTCCATCTCCGGAGACAATTGCATCTAGAGATAGATTCAGCTTCAAATTAAGGTTTGCCTGAACATTTGAAAAATACAAACCATGGTCTACCATGATACTGGAACTGAGTAATCATCACTGTATTCCTTTCTGAGAGTTAAGTGATACCATTAAATCTCAAGAATATTTCATTATTTAATTTCAGCAAATATAGCATTATCGGCTTAACCTTTAAAAATAATTTTAAAGCCTCATATTATCTGCTTTCATATGAGTTTTGAAACTACAACTGTTGAATGTATTAATGGACATCCATTCTACATTTCCAGGAAGAAGACGACTAAAAAATGCAACTCTTCATAAAGTACTTGATTAAGGAAAAATAGTTTGTAAAAAATTAGTATTACCTACCATAGTCTGTGATTTTACATGACACCAAGTATAGTTCTTTCAAGTTCCGTCCTTCTTTAGCAATGACCTCCACACATCTGGAATACATATAAGTCTGGATTTTAAAAGTGCTTAGATATATTTTTATATTAAGGAAAGACCGATAGCTACTATATCCTTCAGAAGTTAATGACATAAAACTTAAAACTGCAATTCATTGTGAACATATCTGAACCTTATTTTAAAATACATTTGATTTTTATTTTTCAATTTAATAGAATTTAATCATTTTAACAAGCATATTCGATGAAAATATCTATTTTAATACCACAAAGGACTTTTATTAATCCATCCTGTCACATGGTATCCCTATTTCTGAGATACTACAGAAGTCTTCAAACCAACACAATGTTGAATAGGAATACAATAGGTCTTCAGATACTACCCACAACAATTGTAAATTTGGGACCCTGATTCAGTCTGGATGTCCAAATTGATTATTACAGATGTCAACAAACATCAGAGCGTGAAGTATCATCTACTATTTGAACACAAATATTTAGCTACAAAAATATACATGAATGGAGATCTAAGTTTTAATGTTTTCAATGGGTTCTAACAGAATTATATAAATGCATTAAAAAAAACTATTCTTTTCCTTAAACAAAGCACAGACATGTTTTATCACATAAACAATTTCCTTCATTTTAAATTTTAAGAATTAAACATTTGTGTATTTCAGAAGAAACATTACGATTTTATTGCCAAAGCAGTAAGAATGTTATTTACAAGTGGCCACATGTATAATTAATTACATATTATGAATCTATACACAGTCTTCATTTTTGTAGCTTTAAAACTGCACAAGGGAGTTTGAATACAACATTTGGATACTTGAACTGGCACATATAGAGAAACAAATATATTAAATTCATATACCAAGATGCTCATATGCTCTGTTACTAACAATTATTTTAAATGAAACAAATTACTAGTATTATTTCAAGTTTTGCCCAACATCATTTTTCACCTGGATCATCACTCTCAAAATACCACATAAATCTAAACATAAAATATTATACAGCCTATATTTAGAAGCAGAGTATAACAAAAAGGCACCTCATAGGACTATATATTGTCATAGGGGAAAACAGTAATATAATGAAGCATAAGTATACTGAGATTATCATATATACTTCTTTCCCTGCCATACATTTAAGACCAACACTTTCATTTTATGTAGATTTAAACACTGTAACAATGAGAGTTTACTCATTTTTCCTTATGGAGTGAACACAGTAATTTAAATGCTAAAGTAAATAACTGAAAAATCAAATTTAGAAGAGATCTATTGCACATTACAATTTGTCCACTTTTCCTAAGAAGTGCCTTCCTAATATTCTGTGCTGAATTGGGGTAAAGGTTAATTAATTAAACTGTGTAAACTACAAGCTATCAAATGGTTTCAAAAGGACCTTGAATTATGGAAAATAATTGTCTGTTCTACATGCATACATCGTTTTTATGTTTGCAGTCTACTTTGCAAAAGCCTGGAAAATGGCATTAGTGACAATTGAAACGAACTAATGAGGAAATATGACTACACAGCTTGCAAGAAAAGTGGTCCTTGGAGACCTTGTTACTGTTTGTGATGCACTTCAACTAATAGGAGTTGCCAGACACTACTTTAGGACATTTCACTTTAAAGAGCAGAGTTTCAATCACCTTAGAAGTATGAAAGGAAATGATGCTGTTAGGGACATAGCCTGATGAGATTTGGAATGAAGATAAGAATGTATTGACCAGATCATCGTTGCATTTGAAGGATAGATTTTTCTTTACTAAGCAGAAAAATGTGTCATCATTTAAAATGCAAACAAGAAATCATAAAAATTAACCAGGGAAAGATTTAACTACAAAGATACACAAGTCAGAAATAGCTGCATAGTTTAAGAATATAGGTGCAGTTGATTCAGAACAAATGATTGCAAGATGATTGAATAAAAGCTTACTGAAGGAAGCACTGAGTGCAATATATTCAGCATAAACACTATGTAGGCATATAGTACCAAAGTATAAATATAACTAGTTCATGAAACTATTATTCACAGCATGATCCAGAGAGAAGCACTTTCAAAATTCAATTGATTAAAATGAGAAAGAGAAAGAAAATGAGAAAGAAAGAAAATTCTATATAAAACATTCTAATTTAAATGTACTTAACTTTGATTGCCTCATGCCCACAGTACTGATTTATCATCCTTATCCCATCATTCCTCCAATAGCGTTCTGGATGGCATACAGGGTCTCCCTCCTCAAAGTTTGTTCTTAAAAAACTCTTATGAGGTAAGTTAAGCAGAAAACTGGTGGCAGAGCCAAGTTTGCAGAAGGAGCTTCATGGTCACTTTGTTCAACTATTTTTCAGTTTAAGTGCTCACTATACTTCACCAAAAAAAATCAATACATAAAATTATGAACAAGGATATTACTATTGTGCTAATATTTGGGTACATTATACATATCTGCTCCAATGTGAGAACAGCTTAAAAAAATCTAATCAGCATGACAAATACTGAAATCCTCTGTATTGTGCTTAGTACTGAGAATGCCAGAATTTTTTTAAAAAAGCAAAGAAAGTAGCTAGTTGTGTTATTTACTGAAACTGAATATAAATTCTATGAAGACAATTATTCCCCTGAACACAAGTAGCAGTGAAGATTTGTTTATGGCTAGATCACATATGGAAAAGGTTTAATTTCATTTTGCAACTACTTTCAACAATTCACAGGCAATTCATACTTATAGTAAACTCATAAAAATTATTGGTGCAAATAAGTCATAACTAAGTTAAGTCCCACTGATTTCAGTGGGCCTGCTCCAGGTGTGTTGAATCTTAGGACCAGCATTCTTATCACCTCTATCTTTTCTGCAAATTAATTGGTACTGCTGTTCTTTTTAAATATTTATTCCTTCTTTTGACATACTGTTTCTAATCTTCTTGTTAGATTCTGTCTTCTCTCTGATTAATATTGTATCTTCCATTTATTTATTTATTTATTTATTCATTCATTCATTTATTCAAAACATTTCTATGCTGCCCCCATCGCAACAAAGCCTCAGGGCGGCTCACAAATATAAACATTTAACCCCCCCCCCCGGTGCATTCTCGACTAATTTAAAATCCTAATAAATACAATAAATTAGCAATTAATATAAATTTTAAATAAAAAGGTCTTAGCCTGGCGCCGAAAAACAAATAATGACGGCGCCAGGTGGACCTCTCTGGGGAGCGCATTCCATAGATGGGGCGCCACCACAGAGAAAGCCCTCCTCCGGGTACTCACCCTCCTAATATCATTCACAGAGGGTTCCCGGAGAAGGGCATCCGTTGCTGATCTCAAGGGGTGGGAGGGCATATATGGGTGCAAGGGTTCCTTTAGATATCCAGGTCCCAAGCCATTTAGGGCTTTATAGGTCATAACCAACACCTTGAATTTGGCCCAGACTTCAATCGGGAGCCAGTGGAGCTGACAGAGAACTGGGGTTATATTAGAACAACGTCCAGTCCCCGTCAGCAACCTGGCAGCTCTATTCTGCACCAACTGAAGTATCCGGACCGTCTTCAAGGGTAGCCCCACGTAGAGCGCATTACAGAAATCTAATCGGGAAGGTACCAGCGCATGTATCACTGTCACCAGGCAGTCATTCTCCAGGAAGGAACACAGCTGATGTATCAGCCGAAGCTGAAGGAAGGCGCTCCTCGCCACCGCCGTCACCTGAGCTTCTAGAGACAGCTCAGGGTCGAGGAGCACTCCCAAGCTGCGAACCCTGTCCCTCAGAGGGAGTGCAACCCCATTTAGGACAAGGCCCAAGCCCCCCATCCCGAGGCCCGAGCCACCCATCAACAGGACCTCCGTCTTGTCTGGACTGAGCTTCAGTTTATTGGCCCTCATCCAGCCCATTATCTCAGCCAGGCACCGGTTCAGCACAGCCACTGCCTCATCTGGATTGGTGGAAAATGAGAGGTAGAGCTGGGTATCATCAGCATACTGATGATTCCGCAGCCCACACCTCCTGATGACCTCTCCCAGCGGTTTCATGTAGATGTTAAATAGCAAA